ATTGGACTGGGTCAACCCAACCCATTTTCCTTCTCTTCTAACCCACTTCTAATTTTCCTCAAAATAATTAAATAAAATAAATACATGTATATTATAAAATATTTTTTCTCTATAATAATAATATATTTCTGACCCTAAATATAATAATATAATTTCAATAACAAAATATCATATAAAATCAACCTTCTCTTAAAACATATAAATATTTATTTAAAAATGCTAATAAAAATACTTATTTAATACGTACAAAATAATTGTCCAAAATAATAATTATTTAAAACGTACAAAATAATATTCCTCTATAATTATTAAAATAATTATGACCAAATACCATCTAATAATAATAATAATAATAATAATAATAATAATAATAATAATAATAATAACCTTTTTGAAAATTGGGGTGTTACAATTACCACACGGGTTAATCGATTACCACATGATGAAATGAAGAAATTTGCTCAAATCTAATAAGGATAATCGATTACCACTCAGGATAATCAATTACCTCTACTGATTCAAGCAAATTCTAATGCATACTCACTGGAATAATCGATTACCACACATAGTAATTGATTACCCTTCACATAATATATGCTCTATTTATTAGTAATTGATTACCAATCGATTACCTACGACATTAATTGTTAGGTAACCTCCTCTTTTGAACTTAAAAATGTTTCTGAACTTAAATTTCTCTCACCCTTTCTCATTCCCAAACTCCATGAACTCTTTAACCCTAAAAGAAACCTTATTTTTCTCCTTTCCTACAAAACCCTACTTCTCTCTTTTTCAAGCTCCACCAGTGGCAGAAATTGTAAGATGCAAGTGCGTTCCCTAAACCGTGCAAACCGAGGCTACCCAACACCCCTAACGGCTACTCAAGGCCAAAGTTCTTCAATAAGGAAGTGTTTAGACTCTCTTCCTAAAGAAGTTGAAGAGTTTGTTCATCTGTGGTTCACAAGAAAAAGTCAAGAATAAGCGTTCAATGAGTCCTTCCTCTCTCCAAAGGTACTCTATCCTACTTGGCTTGGTAATCAAGGTTTTATTTTTTAGTCTCTATTGAAGAATTAAGGTCTTTAGAAATTTGTCGATCTAAGTGGTTTATTTTATCCTGATTTGGTTCGTGTATTTTATGCAAATATGAGAAAGAATGATGATGCAATTCTTGTATATGAAGTAAAAGGAATAAAGATTACTTTGTCCAATGAAGTGTTTAATTCTATTTCTAGTCTGGAAAGGAAAGGTGTGGCTCAAACTTTTCAAAATATTAAGAAAAAGGGTTTTACAATTGAAAAAGATGCATTTTTTCAGAGTTTACTAAAGGATGTGTCTACTTGGGAAGTAGACAACGCGATCAAGAAGTGTGAGAAAAAGAAAGTAACCTATAATGCAGGTGGTTTATTAATAGAAGACAAATTGCTACATTATGTCCTAGTTTGTATTCTTGCAGCAAGGGGGAGCAATCATGCTCAGCTGACTAAGGATGACATGATTCTCATGGTTTCCATTAAGAATAATATTCATATTGACTAGGTCTATGTTTGGAAGACACAATGTTGAAGACAAGAAGGCTTATGGATTACAATTGTCCATATGTTGTCTTTGTTAGCAAGTTGTTGGAACACTACGACGTGCCTTTAGATGGTGTGGCTAGGGAAACAACAAGGGAAACTCATGACATTAAAGATAGAGCCCTAAAGATTATGTTAGTCCCTCACCTTCGGCCCTACAATAAAACCAAACTTCAATTTCGCTCTCAAGAATGTGTGTTCTTGGGTTACTCCACTTCGCATAAGGGTTACAAATGTCTTGCTCCATCTGGTAGGATTTTCATTTCCAAAGATGTCATATTTTGTGAAAATCGTTTTCCCTACCCAAGCCTGTTCCCACCATCCACTCCCAGCTCACCCTCCTCATCCATCTCTGTTCCTCTTGTTATCACCAATCCACAGGCTCCTATTACCTCTACCTCTCCTTCATCCTCGCCACCAATTTCCACTGATTCTTCACCTTCTCGGCCTAGTCATACTTCTCCCACGCCCAGTCCCTCTTCCTCCACCTCTTTACCCACTCATGTTGAGGCTCCCCCTGTCAATCTTCATCCCATGACTACTCGGGCTAAAGCGGGTATTGTCAAACCCCGACTGCAACCCACTCTTTTACTCACACATTTTGAACCCAAGAGTACCAAACAAGCTCTGGCTAGTGACACCTGGCTTGCTGCCATGAAGCAGGAATATGATGCATTAATGGCCAATGGCACCTGGACTCTTGCACCACTTCCCTCCCACAGAACAGCCATTGGTTGTAAGTGGGTTTTTCGTATTAAAGAGAATCCTGATGGAACTGTTCACAAACATAAAGCTCACCTGGTTGCCAAGGATTTCCATCAGCAATTTGGGTTTGATTATACTGAGACCTTTTCTCCGGTTGTGAAGCCAGTTACCATCCGTCTTATTCTCACTCTTGCTCTCACCCATCACTGGTCCATTCAGCAGCTGGATGTCAACAATGCCTTTCTCAATGACAATCTTGAAGAAGACGTTTACATGTCCCAGCCTCTCGGTTTTGAGTCCTCGGGCAAATCCCTGGTCTGCAAACTTCACAAGGCCATTTATGATCTTAAACAAGCCCCGCGTGCTTGGTTTGATAAACTAAAAGCCACACTGTTTCACCTCAACTTTCAGATCAGCAAGTGTGATCCCTCTCTCTTTGTTTATTCCCATGCCAATAATGTCATCTACATTCTTGTTTATGTAGATGACATTATCATCACTGGCAATAATACTGCTTTCCTAAGAAATATTGTTTCCCAACTCAATTCCGCCTTCTCCCTCAAGGATCTTGGTCGATTGGATTATTTTCTTGGTATTGAAGTCAAATCCAATTCTGATGGCTCGCTCACTCTGACTCAAAGCAAATATGTTCTTGATCTCCTCAATCGCACCAACATGGAAAACTCTAATTCCATCACTTCACCCATGGTCTCTGGATGTAAACTCTCTAAGTCTGGTTCTGACAAATTTCTGGATGTGTCCTTATACAGGTCTGTGGTTGGCGCCTTACAATATGCCACAATAACTCGTCCTGAAATTAGTTTTTCGGTCAACAAGGTGTGCCAGTTCATGTCTAATCCCTTGGAGCAACATTGGTCTGCTGTCAAGCGTATCCTTCGCTACTTAAAGGGAACTATGTCCCTGGGTCTCCATCTCCAACCCACTCCTCCTAACTCTCCCTTGTCCATTCATGCCTACTATGATGTTGATTGGGCCTCTGACCCTGATTATCGCCGCTCTACCTCTGGTGCCGCCATCTTCGTTGGACCCAATCTCATCTCTTGGTGGTCCAAGAAACAAACTATTGTTGCCCGCTCCAGCATTGAAGCTGAATACCGCAGTCTTGCTCTTGCCACTGTTGAAGTTCTATGGATTCAAACCTTACTCTCCGAATTACATGTCTCTCATTATTCCCCTGTAATCTACTGTGATAATATGAGCACCATTGCTCTTGCACATAATCCTGTCCTTCATGCTCGAACCAAACATATGGAGCTGGATCTCTTCTTCGTTCGGGAAAAAGTAGCTGCCAATCTTCTTCACGTGGTTCATGTTCCGGCAATTGATCAATATACTGATATTCTTACTAAGTCCTTATCTCCATCTCGATTTTGTGAGCTTCGATCCAAGCTCAAGTTGGCTGATTCTTCGCCTCACCCTACTTGATCTTGCGGGGGGCTATTGGAGTATATCTTTACTCCTTCGCATTGTATTATTTTTATTTTTGTATTAGTTGGTTACCTGTTAGTTAATTTTCTGTTTTCTGGTTTGGTTACCTGTTCAACAGGTCAATGTATCTATAGCTTCCTTTGAAGCTATAGATACATATAAATAGACAAGTTGTAATGTTGATCAGTTAGTGAAAATATAATTTCTTTCTCTGCTGAATTGCTTCCGCTCAATCTCTCTTCTTGTTTCTCACGACTCTCTCATCACAATTCTTCCTGTTACTTAATAGTGATATATAAGACTACACTGCCTAGTATAATATGTCCAACCACTCCGATGGGACCTAAACAGTCTGCTAAACAACATTGTAGTTCAACAAATCAATAGATTGCCAATAATGTCATCTACATTCTTGTTTATGTAGATGACATTATCATCACTGGCAATAATACTGCTTTCCTAAGAAATATTGTTTCCCAACTCAATTCCGCCTTCTCCCTCAAGGATCTTGGTCGATTGGATTATTTTCTTGGTATTGAAGTCAAATCCAATTCTGATGGCTCGCTCACTCTGACTCAAAGCAAATATATTCTTGATCTCCTCAATCGCACCAACATGGAAAACTCTAATTCCATCACTTCACCCATGGTCTCTGGATGTAAACTCTCTAAGTCTGGTTCTGACAAATTTCTGGATGTGTCCTTATACAGGTCTGTGGTTGGCGCCTTACAATATGCCACAATAACTCGTCCTGAAATTAGTTTTTCGGTCAACAAGGTGTGCCAGTTCATGTCTAATCCCTTGGAGCAACATTGGTCTGCTGTCAAGCGTATCCTTCGCTACTTAAAGGGAACTATGTCCCTGGGTCTCCATCTCCAACCCACTCCTCCTAACTCTCCCTTGTCCATTCATGCCTACTATGATGTTGATTGGGCCTCTGACCCTGATGATCGCCGCTCTACCTCTGGTGCCGCCATCTTCGTTGGACCCAATCTCATCTCTTGGTGGTCCAAGAAACAAACTATTGTTGCCCGCTCCAGCATTGAAGCTGAATACCGCAGTCTTGCTCTTGCCACTGTTGAAGTTCTATGGATTCAAACCTTACTCTCCGAATTACATGTCTCTCATTATTCCCCTGTAATCTACTGTGATAATATGAGCACCATTGCTCTTGCACATAATCCTGTCCTTCATGCTCGAACCAAACATATGGAGCTGGATCTCTTCTTCGTTCGGGAAAAAGTAGCTGCCAATCTTCTTCACGTGGTTCATGTTCCGGCCATTGATCAATATACTGATATTCTTACTAAGTCCTTATCGAAGCCCGAGAATGCTCCACAATTAACCTGAAAATAGTTGATAAGCAAAAATTAGACCAAGTGAATCAGAATTAATTAAAATTCAAATTATTGGCCCAATGAAACCCAAACAGTGAAACTGTACAATTAATAAGCGATTTAGCCCAAATTAACAATTAAAATAAGTACAGAAAGATAAATAAATAGGGGAAAATAATGACTCATCACCTCCATTAAATACAATAATTCTTGTAGAGCCAATTTGCTTAAAATTGGCTTGAGCCATTTTGGGAAGGCTTGAGGCATTTTTGCAGAGTTTCCAAATCTGATAAATTTGCTCAAGCTAAATTGTATTCACTTAAGCCTTTTATTTTCCAATGAAAATCATGATCTCTCTGCGATTTCTTCACTTATGCATATAGAAAAAGGCTTAAGCAAAAAGAAGAAAAAAAATTCAAATAGCGTAAGCGAATTTTTTTTAGCTCAAGCCTTTTTTTCAAAAATTTTCAAAAAATTTCTACCAAAATTTTGCTCAAGCCAATTTCAAATGGCTCAAGCGAATTTGTCCTTGGAACATACATGTAGTATTTGGCTTAAGCTCTTTAAAAATCGCTTAAGTGATTTAGTTCCAATGCGTACACCCTTCTCTGTGCATATTTACCTTAAGTGAGATCCAATTCACTTAAGCCCTTTTGGATTAAAAAAAAGAAATATATATACTAATTTCTCTCTCCCACTACTATTCCTCAATGCTTTTCATTACTCATCAATCACCCAGAAACACTCAACCCTCCATATTTATTCTCCATTCCCCCAATTCAAAGTGAACCCTAAGCTATGAAAGCAATTATAAGCAGCTTTTCAACAAGCTCAGCTCATGTTCTGTTTCTCAGAAGATGCTTGTTCTCCATTTCTTTTTACTCGCTTCTTTCTAAAAGAAAAAAAACTTGTTTCACTTTAACTTCAAACCCAAGTAAGCACTTTTTTCCCTTCTTCATCTTAAACTGAGTTTAACTATTGTAAATGCTTGTCTTTTTGCTCTTTAGCATGTCAATTGTATCTTTTTCTGTTTTTGTGGTCTTTAAAATGTTAGTCTTATAGGTTTTAGATTTTTAGTTGAACTTCAGAGGACTTTGTATATTTTGATTTACGCTACTAGAAAAGGACTCTTCAACGTCACCAATTCTACATCGGTTTTAGTAAAAATGATGTAGAAACAAAATATAGTGGTATTTTTGTAATTATTTGAAAAATATAAAGCATATTTACATCGGTTTTAAGAGCAAACGATGTAAATATTGAATATTCTACATCGATTTATTGGAGGACCGATGTAGAATTGAAAACACGGTGACAATTTTGTATTTTCCTTTAATTTCTTAGTTGCATGCATGTTTTGGCTTCAGTGTGGCTTGTTTCAGATAATGCCTTAAATGTGTGATTTTGGGTAAAGAAGCTAAACCGAGCCTTAAATTTCACGTGTTTTGTGGAGAATATGGAGGAATAATGGATTATGAAAGGTGTTGTTGGATATGTGAGTGAGGACCAACATTTTAATGTTTAGTGGATTTTGTGATTTAGGTGGGCCATGGGTTATTTTTGTTATATTAGCTATATATTGGCATGCCCGCTGAAATGCAATTTCAGCAATTTGGATATTTCTAGGAAATATTGTGGTGAACTTGACGTGAATGCATAGTAATTCACATTAATATGAATTGCTAGTGCTTACATATTAATTCAAATTTCTAGGAATATGAATTGACATGTGGAAATTGTGGGCCAGGGGTTTATCATGGATACTAACAAATTATTATTATTATTATTATTATTATTATTATTATTATTATTGTTGTTGTTGTTGTTGTTGTTGTTGTTGTTGTTGTTGTTTTTTGTCATGTAAATTCACTCTTTAGTGTCTTATTATTATTATCTTTTTCCTATGTTTGAATAAATTGATGTGATTAATTGTTTTTCTTCATGCTTCCTTATTTGTATACTGGTTTTGTGTTTTAGAATGCCTCCAAGAAAGCCCACTCATCAAATTCCTACCAGCAAAAAATGCAAGGGCATAGTTCAAGGAGAGGCCTATCAACAACCCCATCATCAAGGCCTCGAGGAGGAGGTAGAGACCAATATTCCTCAAGAGATCTTGGAACCATTGAACAAAACATATTTCTAAATCGAGCAAAACAACAACGGTATGTGGAGTTGGAGAATAAAAAAGTCATAGCAGAAAGGCAAGTGGTCTTACAAGCAGGTGAATGTGATGAATTTCTAGGGGAATTTCAACGGAGGAATTGGATGAGATTGACTGATCTCCCAGAAAAATACAATGAAAAAATTGTAAAAGAATTTTATGCAAATGCATGGCCAATTAGAAGAGATTTTGAAGTTATAAGGAAGTCTTGGGTTAGGGGTCATTGGGTATCATATGATCGGGATGCCATCAACAAATTGTTGGGTGAACCCATGGTGCTCTGTGAAGGCCAGAGTTGTTCTTATCAATTCATAAAAAAAAATAGCAAGCATGGGTTTAACAACCGTGAGGCGGCTAAATTTTTGTGTTTACCGGGCCAATCTTATGAGTCAAATAAGGGTTTTGCACGTCGTATTATAAGGGGAAAGATGATAAAAATTACTAGAGTTTGGATGACCTTTTTATTTGCTAATGTCACCCCTACTACCCATGTCTCGGACATCTGAATGTCACAGGTTCATCTTCTTTATTCTATCTTTCACTCACACGCATACACAGTTGATATTGCTACTATAACTTCAAACGAAATGTACCAATTTGTTATCTCTCCCCCCTCCAAGAAAACTATTTTAACAAAGCCTTTGGTTTTTCTTGCACTGATAACTGCATTATGCAAGGCTCATGGAGTGGTAATTCTAGCTAAACCTCTTACTAAGATCCGAGGGCCTATTAATGCCACATTTATTGACAAACTTTGCATTATGAGACAACAAAGGTTCTGACTGCATAGAAGGATGATATGGAGGAACAAGAGCTGTCGGAGCCTTTGTTGTCTCATTATTGCAAAATTTGTCAATATATGTGTCATTAATAGGCCCTCGGATCTTGGTAAGAGGTTTAGCTGGAATTACTACTCCATGAGCCTTGCATAATACAGTTATCAGTGCAGGAAAACCTAAAGGCTTTGCGGAAATAGCTTTCTTGGAGGGGAAGAGATAACAAACTGGTACATTTCATCTGAAATTATAGCAACAATATCAACTGTGTATGCGTGTGGGTGCAAGATAAAATAAAGAAGATGAGCTCGTGACATTTGGATGTCTGAGACATGGGTAGTAGGGGTGACATTAGCAAATAAAAAGGTCATCCAAGCTCTAGCAATTTTTGTCATCTTTCCCCTCATAATATGACGTGCAAAACCCTTATTTGACTCATAAGATTGGCCTACTAAACACAATAATTTAGCCACCTCAGGGTTGTTAAACCCATGCCTGCTATTTTTTATGAATTGATAAGAACAGCTCTGGCCTTCACAGAGCACCATGGGTTCACCCAACAATTTGTTGATGGCATCCCGATCATATGGTACTCAATGACCCCTAACCCAAGACTTCTTTATAAATTTAGAATCTCTTCTAATTGGTCATGCATTTGCATAAAATTATTTTACAATTTTTTCATTGTATTTCTCTGGGAGATCAGTCAATCTCATCCAATTCCTCTATTGAAATTCCCCTAAAAATTCATCACATTCACCTACTTGTAGGACCACTCGCCTTTCTGCTATGACTTTTCTATTCTCCAACTCCGCATACCATTGTTGCTTTGCTCGGTTTTGAAATATGTTTCTATTCAACGGTTCCATGATCTCTTGAGGAATATTGGTCTCTACCTCCTCCTCGTGGACTTGATGTTGGGGCTGTTGTGAGGCCTTTCCTTGAACTATGCCCTTGTGTTTTTTGTTGGTAGGAATTTGATGAGTAGGCTTTCTTGGAAGCATTCTAAAACAGAAAACTAGTATATAAATAAGAAAGCATGAAGAAAAGTAGTTAATGACATCAATTAATTGAAACATAGGAAAAAGATAATAATAATAATTTTAATAATAATAATAATAATAATAATAAAAACAAGACATTAAGGAGTGAATTTACATGTCAAAATAATAATAATAATAATAATAATAATAATAATAATAATAATAATAATAATAATTTGTTAGTATCCACAATAAATCCCTAGCCTACAATTTTTACATGCCAATTCATATTCCTAGAAATTTGAATTAATATGTTAGCACTAGCAATTCATATTAATGTGAATTACTACGCATTCACGTCAAGTTCACCACAATATTTCCTAGAAATATCCAAATTGGTGAAATTGCATTCCAATGGGCGTGCCAATATACAACCAATATAACAAAAATAACCCATGACCCACCTAAATCACAAAATCCACTAAACCTCAAAATGTTGGTCCCCACTCACAGATCCAACAACACATTTCATAATACATTATTCCTCCATATTCGCAACAAAACACATGTGAAATTTAAGGTTCGGTTTAGCTTCTTTACTCAAAATCACACGTTTAAGGCATTATCCAAAACAAGCCACACTGAAGCCAAAACAGGCATTCAACTAAGAAATTAAAGGAAAATATAAGCCCTTGACCCTCCTAAATCAAAATATACAAAGTCCTCCAAAGTTCAACTAAAAATCTAAAACCTATAAGACTAACATTCTAAAGACCACAAAAGCACAAAAATATACGATTGACACTCTAAAGAGAAAAAAGACAAGCATTTACAAGAGTTAAACTCAGTTTAAGATGAAGAAGGGAAAGAAAATGCTTACTTGGGTTTGTAGTTAAAGTGAAACAATTTTTTTTTTCTTTTAGAAAGAAGCGAGTAAAAAGAAATGGAGAACGAGCATCTTCCAGGAAACAGAACGTGAGTTGAGCCTGTTGAAAAGTTACTCGTAATTGCTTTCAAAGCTTAGGATTCGCTTTGAATTGGGGGAAAATGGAGAATAAATATGGAGGGTTAAGTGTTTCTAGGTGACTGATGG